TTTCACAAAATTTTATACCTTTTTTCACAAAAATGGCTACACCAGCTTTGCCATCAATTCTGTCCCTCCTCACAATATTGTAGCCATGATATCTGATAGTATCGTTTGGCTTGAACCAAGTTTCGCTTACTAGGGCTACGTCAATATCATTTTTTGAAAGGAACATATTCAAACTGTTTCGATTGGACACAGCGGAACGTGCATTCCACTGCATCACCTTTAGCACATTATCGGTATTATTGAAGACGCTAAGTGGAATTTATTAACTTATCTATTATGCAATGTATTTCGTTTTTCAATGTATTATTACTGATTTTCTTAAGATCACCCAAGTTTTCGGATTTGTTTACAAGTTCAAAAAAAATTTTTGAAACTATGTCAACCATTTCGTTTTTTTCTGAAATATTCGACTGATAGATCTTACTTGAAGTTACTGGATTAGGAGGTCCTGCACTAAAAAAATGTTTCTCTGTCGGAAAATTTATGGGGGGTGATTGAGCTTTACGTTTTTTATTTGCACTAAATGCTGTAGAGGAAGGTCCAGTATTTGTCATCTGATGAACATGTTGCCTGCTAGGAGAAATTGTTTGAGGACGGCTAGGGAGATGTGGGAAGGTTACTTCGTTGATATTTTCCAATACTTGGAATCTATTGGAGGTTGAAACATGGTTTGAGTATGAGTGTTCTATAAATTCTTTGGCTTCTGTGAAGGGTAGATTTGATGTGGCCATGGTCTTTTTAATTTTTTGTTGCTTCTGAAACGAAGGACAATCTTTTGATGTGGATCTGTGCGAAGAGTTTTTACAGAAAAGACAGTAAGTATTGGTTTCATTACATGTATGTTCATCCTCTTTGACTTGGCCACATATAATACACCTGGAGTGAGTACTGCGACACTGTCCAGAAACATGTCCAAAACGCAAGCATTTATAGCATTGTATTACCCTTTGTACAAATGGCTCAACTTGAAATAGCACGCTGTTTATATAAAGTTCGTTGGGAAGCATATTGCCATTAAATGTGACAACTGCCATTTGCCTAGGAACTAACTGATGAGTGCCATCACTAACAATTTTTCTCTTTAGACGCTTGACCTCCAGTACGCTTATATCAGAAATTATATTTTCTTTTAAATATTCCTCACTAAACTGAGTATCAACACCCTTGATTAAACCCTTTCTTATTAATAAATTATTTGGGATGTATGCTTTTAGATTCCCTGCTGCGAGTTCAGTGTTACAAACTAAGTGATTAGCATCGTTCAAATTTTTGAGACCTACTTTTATACGATTTAAGCCGACGCGGCTAATAGTCGTTATTCTATCATTCAATTTAAGGTTTTTGTGGAATATATGTCCTACGTGAAGCGGATGTAGTCTGCCAATATTTTGGCTGTTGGTCTTCTCAATAAACACATAAATATTATTATTTGAGTAATACTTAGCGTTTTCAATCTCAAACAGTCGTGGTTGTTGTTGTTGTTTTTTTTCTGAGATGGTATGCCGCTCCTCTGTTATCGCAGCGTTGTATTCGCTCGAGTTGACGCTGGAATTTATTTCACACTGAGGAGAATCTTCACTAAATGTTAAATCATACACAGCAATGTTCACATTAGTGTCACTACCACTGGGGAATCCCACCCCTGTAGGAGGTGGAGGCATATTTAGGAAATGTATTTAATTAATCTATATAGAACCCGGTAACCCTCGCTAACTATATTATATGATCGCTCCGATACAGGTACGTCTTTCTTGTAAGACAGCCGAAGCGGAACCTGGATCTTCAATACGGTAGAATGTGGTTAGCCGACGGTATCAGATTTGTTCGTACAGTGGCCAGTGACTTATCGGTAACTGAGTCTGGGATCCGACCATGTAAATTCCGTCTGACAGGTTGGCGACAGCTGCACGAACAGGCCATTTAACTAACATATTTTGCTTAAAAAATGATGATGATAAGTGTTCGCGAACATTGGATAACTTATATAGTTCAATGGACTGGATCTGAGTTTGATGTAATGTAAAAGAATCGAAGCTTACGGCGTTTTTCTAAGATCGGCTTAGTTGTGCCGAACGTAATTGCCGTTCTGTGGGACCTTTAGAGTCTACTTTCTTGGAAAGCAATATGGCAACATCCTCCGTTGACTATGATTTACAGGAAACTGTTTCGTCAGTCTCGCCAGGTGCGAGGGAGGCGGGAATAAGTTCCCGGTTCCAGTATCCCCTGCCGATGTCGTCAGAAAACATCGGAAGAATAAAATGGTGTAACGTTGACGTGTCGCTTATTGGAAGTAGGTTTACATTCAGACATCGGCGGAATATCAAATGAGAAACGGATCCATCTCCACTCCATTTATTGGTTATTTCGAGAATGGCTTATAGCAGCTGGGGTCGGTGATTGATATACTCGTAGTGGCGTCCCTTTAGCTTTAACGAAAAACCGATAATTTGAAATATCATATCCGTTTCCATTATTATTTGAGGGGGTTCTTGGATGAAAAGTTTAGAGCGTTGTATGAGTGTGATCGTACTCAGTTGTTAGGAAGATCTTACGAAACTCTTTGAGCTGTCGTCTCTGGCCTAGTGTAGTGTGGTACCAAATAGAGAAAAGTTCTACCAGATCTTATAGTAGGCAACCTGCACAGCTCGAGCAAGCTACGGACAGCTAATACGTGGTACAAAATATACGAAGTCTGTGAACTAAGTGCTCAGACTGATTTTTTTAATTTTTTATTTAAATATAATTACAGTTTAATATTGTTACCCACAAAATAACCTCCTTCTGAGTTAATTTTTCAACTATGGGAATGAAGAAAAGCCACAAGGACCCAGGGGGTAACATGAATGCTTTCACTGGCCAAAAGATCGTTTATTGCATTGTTGTGTGACAAGGAGCATTATCGTGATGCAACACAGTTGTTCTTTTTCTGATGAATGGTGGTGCGAGTCAGATTTAACTCATTCCCGATTATTCTGACGGTCAACCAACGATCCCAGATTCTGACGATATTTCTATCCGTTCTTGAAGATGAAGGCCTTCCGCTTCGTGGTTCATCTTCAGTCGACTATCTTCCTTATGAAAATGCCTAAAACGACCTGGGCTCTTGGCGAAATACTATCTCCGTGGGCCTGCTGAAGGTTAGGAAGAGTTTCCGTTGCACTGCCTGAAGTATAACCTAATGGCACACCGTTGCTCGAAATCGATCTAATTCATTTTTAGAACACAATAGGAAGAACTGTTTCAAACTGTTCAAAGTTGTACTGATTACGGATCACATGTTCCCCTTACTACCCTCAAATCCCGGTGCCTCCAGTGTTACCAGATCGAACGCTACGTTGTTAGTCCATTACTTAATTTACAAACCTCGTATGTTTGGAAACATCAATAACCGTCACATGACTTGGACTTCTTCACTCATAAGACTACGACGCGTGGAAATATGAACCACTAGTATTTGGCTTGATACAGCGATTGCGTCCGACCATCGCTAATCGTTGGCACCCACAAGCAAGCGCCTACGTTATCCCTTGCTCACCCTGTAGACGAGGTTTGGGACGAGAGATGGAAAATAACGTTACTACTACATACTAGGATGAAAAGACACCAAAAAAATAAAAATGACATGTCGCTTGTTGGGATCAGGTTTACGATCACACGTCGCCGTCGGCGGAATACCTAATGCGAGACGAGCCCATCTCCATTTCTTTTAATATTCATTTCATTGGAGGCCTATAGCAGCACATCAGGGTCGTCGATAGATACATCGGCATATGTTATGCTTGATGTTCACAGATCTGGCAGTTTCCATTTAGAATAAGGTCAAGATGACATATAGCTCACACTTTACCCAACAAACATTTTAAGGTATGTTTACGTTATCTCGACCACAAAATAGGTTTGCAAAGATTGCATGACCAATTTAAAAAATGCTACATTTATTTCAAAGCGTTTGCTTTTTTCCAAAGTATTAGGTCGGTGAGACGTTTGTAAGTAACAGGTCGAAGGATACAAATAAGTATTTAGATCATCTTTTGGTAAAATCGTAATAATTTTGCCCTATAAAATCATAGGAGTTTGACCTAAATTTAGCAATAAAAGAAACATCTTATGTCGCTCTCCTTCTTTCTCTTACATACAGTTAGTAACCTATTGGTTGAAAGTAAGATTAACTGGTGACGCACTTGTCTATAGCCAATAATGTTAAAGAAATGACTTCCTTGTATGGTACTGATTATATCAGAACGATTTTGAAATTAGATTTTTCGTTCACTTGTGTCGAAAAATACACAAAAAATTTTCTCGTCAAATGTGGCCAGAATAGATACCCAAAATTCACGGGCCTCATAAGCTAAATTAACAAATTTTGTTAACAACTTCTACGAGGTTCTCTATTAACAGCATAGTCTCAAATTATAAGATCGCTTTGTTTTAAGGCACGAAGTTGTTAATTATATGCAAAATAATGTGTTTTTGTGTGGCTTAGGTCAGCGTTTCTCAACCTGTTGGGCGCGCCCTCCTAGGGGGGTGTGTCAATATTAAAGGGGGGCGCGAGCATATCAGAAAAATCACTAACAACATTGAATAATTTACTAAAAGGAAAGAAAAACAAAATTCTGACATAATCAAAAATAACATACACATTAACACTGATATAGTAGGTACTCTTATAAACAAGACTATGCTACGATACTAAATTAAAAATAAGTTTAATAATAGTAATTATAAGAAATAATAATGATTACTAGTGACTTCCTTGGGACTGCTTTGCCGAGCGAAGCTTGTCGAAACAAGATTTAGTATTTGAAATAGACACTCTGAATTCTTTTTCTATATTTAGCTGCGATCTATATTTGGTCTTCAAAACAGCCACCGCCGAAAATACTGTATCGCAAAGGTAGGATGTTGAAAATGGTAGTACTATACGAAACGCTCTGGTTTTCAGTACCGAAAATTCACTGTTCATGCCTGCCCAAAATTCAAACTGGGATTTATTTATTAAACTATTTTTTGATTTCGGCATTTGCCGTAAAGTCTATGAAGATTTCTTCTTCGGCAATTGAGTACTCTTCGGGAGTAATTTGAGACGGACTCCTAACCCACTCGTAACTCGGTATTAATTTGTCGTCGGCTGAAAAATATTTCTTTTAATTCTTGGTCAGCATAGCTAAATGATTTTAAATGGTTATTGAAACAACTTTTATGTGTTGTTCTTCAACCTTGTAAGTTTTAATACATTCATCCGCACTGGCTAAAATTTACAGGTTTTTCGCTTTAAATTTTTGCTCCACAATTCCAATTTTCTACAAACGGCGTTAACTTTAATCAGTCGCATCCAATATATTTGTATTTGCTCCTTGAAGCTGAATGTTCAAGGTTTCTTGAATATGTCGACCAAGTAGCTCAAGTTCATCAGAAATAAACCATCCCAAAGCATCTCGGTTTGTTCCTTCTAGAAAAACGGCGATCTCATGTCGTAATTCAAAAACACGTTGCAAACATTTCCCACTTGATAACAATCTTGCCTTGCAATAGAATAGTAATGCTGAATGTACTGCACCCATATCTTCACAAAGTGAAGAAAATATTCTAGTTTTCAAAGGTCTCATTTTTATGTAATTAACGACTGTTACAGCCGTAGTTAGCACAATATTCAGGCCAGGAAACACAGTGTACTATCAATTGTAATAATTGCAACCAAATATACATAGGACAGACTTCCAGGTCTCTAAAAGGAACTATAACATCACCCAAAAGTTATTCTAGACTTTATCCCGAGAGATGTGCTCTGGCATGTCATGTCAATACAACAGGGCACTTGATGAACTACACAAGTATCGAAGTCTTTGATAGAGAAAAACACCTATCCAAACGTTTATTCCTGGAAATGACCCACATTTTCATCAGCAATAACTGTATGAATAAAAAAGCAGATGTCAAGCAACTGAGGATCATTCACTCATATTTGCTAAACTGCGAAACATTGGAGAACTTACACATCTCTCCAAATTTTATTCTTCACAACCATAAATGGAATATGGTTTTTAGTCTATTCCATCCTTTTCCTCCAAAATTCTATCCCATTCAAAATTCTAATAACTAATGTTTTTTCTCATAATAAAATAATTGTTAATTCAATTGTCCATCTCATTAATAATATAGTTTTTTCAACTGCCTCTGGTCTGTTGACAAGTTTTTATTTAAATATCTTGATAAATCAAACCATCTCAGGCGATTTGGCAACATAGTTCATACGAGTATTTTTACAAACTTTCGTTCCTCCATCGACACTGACACTACCAGCCTTCTGTCATTTGCTAAATGTTTCATTCTACTTATGATCATGTCGTACACCATTTTGTGCAGCATCAGGTGCTTGTTTCACGATGTAATATGTAATAATTTCAACTTTCATTCCACATATTTTTAATCCGTTGTGATGTGTTCCTGACATACAGCTGTGAGTGTTTTTTACAAATTTTAACGAATGTACCATGGATCCAGCTTTGACCAGGTTACTACGGCCCGTATCGTCAGTCGTCCCTACAATTGTAGGGCGCGTTTATGGCCTTCTTCATTGTCATACTCCTTTCTCTCCTTCAAAAATTTCTAGATTACACTTGTCCCGTGTCAGCGTCAGCGCTCTCCTATTGTGAAGATATGTTTTCTTTTTAAATTGTAGGAAATTTCAGGCTGATAAAACATGATATAACTCAAAAGCAAGCACAATTTGATGTGAATAGATGTTTGTGACATAACCTCAAAATAGAGGTCTGACACGGAGAAGTAGAAAACTATGACAATGAAGGAGGCCATAAAGGCGCCCTACAATTGTAGGGACGACTGACGATACGGGCCTAAGTGTTTCCCTCAGCTTAACCTTTAATAACATTTAGCAACAACCTCACATACTATTGCAAGTAATTTAAAATCATTTTGCACAATCGATAGTTGCTATTTCTTCCTAATGTTATTGTAGCTCCTGATGATGACGGTATAGTCCGTCTAAAGCTAGAGACTAATAAAGTATAAAGAGTCCTCATCGCTTTAATCTTGTCTAAGTACCCAACTAAAGGCGGAAGCTTTATTTTTTCACCACGCTGGCTTACGTATTTTTGGAGAAAAGTAGCAAGCAATAAGTTAATATTCATGTATTAATAATAGGAGGAGAATATATCAGATATGTCCGTTTTCATAATCTCGATCTGTAGGTAGAAATATCTTGCATTTTCAACTGTATAGTTCAGTTTACCCTATTTAGGACCTAATAAATACTTAGAGGCTAAATTCCAAATCAAGGTGAAACCAGGTCTTGGTTTTTATTTTTGAACAAACAATTTGGCATCAAATAATTTTTCAGATTGATGTAAGTATTTTGAATTTATTAGTTTGCCGTAGTTGACAAATTTCCTACAGGTATCCTTGTAACCTCAAGGTGTCCAATGGGGTTATTTAACAGACATATCGACCTGTTTCTTAACAATCCATATTGCAAACTCACAGGCCATTTTTATTGGAAATTAATAAGATAATTTTCACTTACCAATATGCCCGAAGAAGATCCCAACATTGAGGACATATTTTAGATTAATGTTGGTTAAGCTATAACATCTGGATTTGTCTTCGAGGTCAATAATTCTTTAACTACTTTTTAAAGGTGTGTTTTTTTGTTGTTTTGAGCCAACCAATTTAACCTCTTGGTGTAAGGTCTATTATGACCCCAATTTGGGACGTAGTTACTCATTTCTGAGAAAAAAATCAACTACGTGATAATTATACTTTTGAGGACAGCATTCCAGGATATAATTACTAAAATTTTATAAATATAGGTAAAGTTGTCTTGAGTGGTAGCCCATTTTAACAAAATGCTAGTTGGGTACCGAACAAGTAAATTCTACCCTAACGACAAATTATTGGTTACATGGCACCTCAGTTGCTATGTTCCTATCTGAAACGCGTAATAGACTAACAAGTAGACAACTGAATATCCAGACTTTTGTAGATTGCATTAAGCTAAGGACTTGAACCAGAAAACACTAGCAGCGATTTCAGCCTTAAAGGGAATTCTTAGACACAAACAGTATTCTACCGCAAGCATTAGTCAGCGGTACTATCATAATGTAAGACGATGATAGGATGATAAACATGAGAAAACAACAATACCATCTTACATGTGTACGGAGTAATACTCTATACCTTTAATTTTCATTACAAAGGTGGTATGTAAACAACATGACGACGGCTTCAGTATCACAAGAACTAATTACTTGCTAACATAACGACAGAGGAGTTGTTCTTTCTTGACGAAAGTCGATGGAACAAGGTTATGAGTGCCAAGTTTGTTTGAGAAAAGTGTCTTCCATGTTCTACCGACTCGTGACACGCATAGCTCTACTGTCTATAAATTATGTTACTTAGCTGGTTGTTGCCGTGTCAACATCCAAAAACTCTGACGTTGACTCCATGACTACTTTAATCTAGCATTCCGTTTCATGTACTGCCATGAGCTGAGATTCCCACGAGAGAAAGCTAAGCGGTCACATAGACCGGCATTATCACGTTGGCCAAAAGCTATGGTGTCAATATCTAAAACGTCCCGACACTTCCCCTGACATAGGAAACCGAGCAGTTAGTAACATAACTACCACCCTCTGGCAACCCGGTACACTGTAACTCTCATAACAATCGCCAGAATCTGGAGGTTTTGACTCTAAATTATATTTAACTATATCTGTTTACTATTGGTAAACATATCTCATCTGATCTTTTTTGACTTATGACAATTATCGTGATTATAAGGGTACTAAGCCATGATATGCAATACAGCAAAACAATAATAGATACTCAGTAAAAACTCTCACCGTTTAAGTGATAGAGCCTTGGCGGAAAGTTGATTTGGGCAAGGCTTCGACTTTCCAGCTGTTCGAACAGTAGAATGAACCTGCAGGATTTTCACGAATTCGCGTAAGGTTTACCAGGGTCGTAAGTGATTACTGAAATGCGCCTTTCGTGGCATTCCAAGTGTCAAGTAAAGCCTTTAGAGGGGGTCACGCATACATAAAAGTGGCTAAATTATTCTGTATGTTTTAAGTAGGGAGGGGGAAACTGCAATATATAGAGTTGGCCAAATTCGAAGGAAAGATGGGACAACACTGTAACTTTTGACAGAGATGACAGATCGAGTAATGACGTAGCGCGTTCGAAGCATCAGTCTAAGGAGATTTTTGCAATGGAGCAGTACACTCCACGCGAACGCGCTCAGATTGTTGAAATTTACATTCAACAAAACAAGTCAATTGTGAAAACTCAATGTGCATGGAGAAAAATAAATAAAGTGAAAACTGCGCCTTCCGCGACTACATTGTATCGTTTATATGAAAGATTTTCATCAGGTGAGGCATTTACTAATCCCAAGCGTCCAAGTAAAAAGCGACCAAGGCGATCGGATGAAACTATCGCACTCGTACGGACCAGTGTTCAGAGGTCTCCAACAACATCTCAAACACGTCGATCTGAGCAGTTGGGCATAAACCGAACCACTTTACGTCGCATATTGCGTCACGATTTGCATTTGTTCATAAACAAAATTCAACGATTGGAATGGACCCAAATAGTCATTGAAATGGCTAAAAGTGACGATAATTTTTGGCAAAACATCACCATGAGCGATGAATCTCATTTCATGTTAACCGGAGCCGTAAAAAAACAAAATTGTCGATTCGATGGTACTGAAAATCCTCAAATTATTCGCTAGGTACCTGTTTGTGACCAAAAACTGACTGTTTGGTGCGGTATTTGTACTGGTATGGTCATTGGGCCGTTCTTTTTCGAAGACGAAGCTGGCAAAGCATTTACCGTCAATCAGGAGCGTTATCGCGATATGGTAACCGATTTTTTGATGCCAATTGTTCGTGACAATGTATGGAGCATTTCTGGTTTCAACAAAATGTCGCTCCACCACACGGTTCGAGATACTATCGATTTTTTTAAACGATTGTTCCCTGGACGTCTGTTGTCAAAAAATGGTGATTTTGACTGGCCACCGTGTTCACCAGATTTAACGGCTCCAGACTTCTTTTTGTGGGGCCACTTGAAATCGAAGTTTTATGTCAACAAGCTAAGGACCCTAGA